TCATATTTCGGCAAGGAAAAGTGGGTGTACCCTGAAGTTTGGCCCGTTTGTTTATTATTAGTAGTATATACTCTCTTCGTTCTTTTTCATATGACGTATTATCTTTATCTTAAATTAGTCATTTACATTTAACCATCAATTTTAAGAAATTCATGTAGTTTGACATGTAAATTGTATATTATGAATGTATTTGTCATAGTAAATCTAAAAAAATTAAATCTTATGTTATTAGCATCTATAAATTATTAACATCTACAAAAAAAATTTGAAATTTGATGTCAAAGTTAGAAATGTCTAACTTAAAACAAAACTAACAGGACATTAAAAATGAACGGAGAGAGTAGATACTGGACAGGAAAAACGATGGGAAAAAAAACAATGCTAATAGCCCATCACTACTGCCTTAGCCCAGCCGCATGGCCAGTTTCCTCTGCTCGGCGATCGTCCGTCGGCCTCAGTCTGTTCAGTCCTCCCCAATTACCCCTCTGCCATCCTCTAACCGTAACGGGAAAAGGCGAAGCTCACGCAGGCGACGGCACCATTTGACAAGGGTGGGCAGTTGGCTGCGCGCCGGCGCTAAACCGCTCAGTGGGCAGGCGCGCAGGGTGGCCGTGCAGTAGTCACGGGGTCTGCGCGGAGCCGACACCGGCACCGGCGCCATCGAGGGGGCCTGCCGCCTCAACGTTGACGTGAGGTGATCACTTGACCTAGTCCTCTCTCCTCCGGATATGACGATTTGATGGATTTAGAGTCCTTTATAAGGGCATGTTTAGCTTAGCTTCAGGCTTCATATCTGAGATCTAGGTCAGATCTGTAGTTTGTAGACTAAATTAAAGTGGTTCAAATATTTTTTTTTTGTTCTAAACTATTAGTAAATTATTCATATACATGCTCTTGATTTACATTAGAGCCCCTCCGATCCAAGATTTCTTGAAGCTACGTCAGATCTGTGGATTTCTTGAGGCCTCAAATATAGGCGTGGGATCGATTGCACCTAGTGGTTTCACTTGTTATACCTAGTCATCGGGTTTGCGTCATCTCTCGAAGTAGGGGGTTGCAAATTGCAAACTAGACCACTAGCTCAGCAATTCATGGCAATTGAACCTTGTAAGGGTTTGTTTGGTTGCACTCCAACCCACCCCAATTCACATGGGGGCTTGTTTGGATGCATTAGCATTCATTTCAATTCACATGTGTTGTGATCAGGATGGAAATTAGTTAATTTTCTATCCTGATATTCTCCAATACATATGGATAGAGATGGATACGAGTGCATCCAAACAAGCTCTGGGTTGGAAGAGATTGAGATGGAATTATTACTAATTTTCTATCTTAATCCCTTCCAACCCATGTGAATTGGGAAAACAATCCCAAACTGGAACAAGAATTAGTAAATGATCAACTAGTTTGCATAAATTAGTTAAGTAATAGATAAGTAATAGATCAGAGAGAAAAGGAGATTTCAACGTAGTTTGTCAGCTAAGAAATGAAAGATCAGTGAATAGATTATTGAAATTTTTCCTGAAAGGGCAGCAAAATCTTTGTCACAAAATTTATGGAAGGAAAGAAGGGAACGGGGCAACCTATACAACTGGGGTGGGATAGAAAACAACTCAACTCAGCCCCTAATTACCACACGGGGCACAACTAGCCACCACAAAACAAAAACAAGTAACGTAATCAAGCGCATCCAACGTCAAACTAACTGAGAACTGCACCTACAGAGAAAACCACCACCCATCAGGTGACACCATCAAACTAGCATGATGGAAGCACCAGTGTATTCTAAATTTTGAATGTGAACAGTTATATTGTAATTTTTTTTTGTAAATTCTGAACTATTTATTGAGCCTATGGTATTATCTGACCTTTTTAATATGTCCGCATTGTATTTTTGCCAGATGCTATACTCATATTCTGATCATGCATAAGTCCTGCATTCCTGCAGGAACCCCCGCCGTAGCAACGCCTCCACCCTTCCATCATGGATACCACGCGCTCCGTGCATCTCTTCAAGATAGCGATCACGACAACCAAGGACATACCAACCGTATCGAGGGTATGTGCCGTCGGTGGACATGAATGGAAGATTGAATTCCATGAAAACATGACAGACCAGATGCACCCATACAGCGGTGGTGACTGGATCATGTCCCGTGTTAGATTGATCAGCAATGGAGCGCGCTGAGGTGGCGGCATTGTTCAGCTGCCGCCTGGTGGATCTAACGTCACCGGCCGATTCTCTGGAGAGAAGTACATCCTCCATGTTCTATGAAAACATGTCCCAGGATGTCTTTCTTATCAGACGGAGTGACCGGAACCGCGTCGATATTTAAAAGATGGCTGCATTATTGTGCAATGTGCAATCACTGTCCTGCCCAGGGATCCCAAGGATGAGACAGCAGCTTACGCCATGCCCAGCGTTCCATCCTCTGACCTGCACAAGCAATTTGGTGAGCTGCTGCTGAGCCAGGTGGGGGCTGACATCACATTTGTCATTTCTGGTGAGTGTATCGCCGCACACAGGTGTGTGCTTGCAGCAAGGTCACTGGTTTTCATGGCCGAGCTCTTTGGGAACATGAAAGAGAAGCCCTCATCATGTGTTGAGATCGATGACATGGAGATAGAGGTGTTCAGAGCCATGCTGCGTAGAGAAGATGTGCACGAACATTGGCGTGGGTACGGTCGCGACCACATTGGCTTTGGCTGAACAGCACGGGTGCCCGAAGCTTAAATATCCAAGTGCATGGAGTTCATCTTGGGTGGCGCAGAGAATTTCCAGGCTGTTGCTGCAACGGAAGGTTACAAACATCAAGGCAAGCTGCCCCTTGGTCTTCAGGGCAGCGTAGAGATGTTTTGACTCTCTAAAAAACTTGAAATGATTTATAATTTAGGAATTTGGGACGGGGGAAGTAATAAAAAGGAAACCTAGCGAAGACGGGGAGAGAATTTTCAGAATGGGACGTTAAAGATGAACGGTGCGAGGAAGGAAGGATGGACAGTCTGATTGATTGCAAATCATGCTGTGCACCCTACTGTTGGAGACAGAAAGCAGGCGTGTGACATTGACAAGAAGACCGGCGCGGATCTCTCAAAGCCTGTTATTAGCACCGGGATACAGTGATTAGAGCAACTCCAACAACTTGGATATTCTTGTCGTGGAGACTATTTTTAAATTTATATAGCAAAAATTAGGCTTCAACAGATGTGCTATTTGACATTGTAAAATAGAAAGCTGGCTATCCCTTGATTTTCGGTGGCCATATATAGCCAACCATGAGTGCTCGCTATCAACCTTTGTAAAATAGCAAGGCTATTGTGGATCTCTTCTTTTTTAACGACTTTTCTATTTTACAAAATGGCTAAACAATAGAATTTGGCTACTAATTTTAGCCCAGGTGTTGGAGTTGCTCTTAGCATCCGTTGTTTTGTGCCTCGTAGTCCAGGTTTCAGGCACCTATTTTTCGCGCTACTACACCCGTTCGAGCGGCGTTGGTTGTTTCGGGACGGTCAGGCAAAAAAAAAGTACTCCCACCATACAGTAGAAAGTAACTCTTCTAACGTTAAAAATAGGTCTGTCTAGCCAACAACCGCTTGATTTAACCCATTCCATCAACTGAATTTTTTCTATGCACTTACATTATCTTATAGTTATATTTACACCGACTTATTATTATATTTACAATGATTTCTTCAGTGTAATTTATTGGACAGAGTGATATAATTTGAAAATAGCATAAATATATGTCAAATTTTTCAAAAAAAATACAAATTATTTTTTATGGATTCCAGACACCAAAGAAATATATGTCAAATTGTTCATAAATTCTTCACAAAATTCAAAAAAATATACAAAATCCACACAAAACTGCTGCAACCGGAAGGGGCGGCGCCGCGACACCCATGCACACGCGTCCCCAGGCAAAACGAAATGGTGCCGGCCTCTCACGCAGAAAGAAACGGAGGGAGCAGCGCCTCTGCTCCACTCTTGGTCAACCGACGTGGCCCCCACGAGCAGTCCATCTCTCATTTGCTCACGTACACGCTGCACTACTCGACGGTGAACACGCAGCCTGGGCGAGCAGGCCGCCTACGCGGCTCCCTCGAGAGAAGCCGTGGGGAACGGCGGGGGCGACCACGAGGCTGAAGTTATCCGGTTGGTTCTCTATCGACGGCTGAGGGAGGACGGGCGAGGAGGATCGAACGTCATCCGATGACAAAAAAAACCAGTTGAGAGATGTTCCTAAATCAACCGGTTGACCATTAATATTTCTCTTTAAAATTTGTTTTAAAATAAATATACCTTTAACTATAGATCAACTACCTAGTTCTAGTAGCTTTTACTGTAATTTCATAGACACGTTGATCTTCTCAATGAATTTTAGAAGTGCACTGATGATAGCAGAGCAAAATCATGCAACTGCAGATGATAACGACAGCCACATGTCCACAGCCACGCCACGCGTCACATTACAGAAGCTTCTGGTCTCATGATCTCATCTCATCAAAAAAAATAAAAAAAAAAACAGAGAAAAAGAGCAATATCCTTTGATGCAATCGATCTGGGCCGTGCATACGCTTCCAGGCCCAACGCCACCGCACTAACTAATCCGCGTGTACAAACCCACGGCGCCGCACGCATAAAAACCCTCGAGCGCTGCCCATCCAGGTCCGTAACAACCACTGACCACTGGGACCCACGTGTCAACAACGACGACACTTGGGCCCATTTCGGCGACGACGAGCTTCTCCCCAACGGCCAACGCTATAAAGAAATTTCAGCACCTTCCCGTGGCTTACTCGAACCAAAGCTGCTCCTGTTCTTCCCACCGCACCTCGGACCCAAATCAATCAGCCCCCAAGAATCTGACCAGCTTTTTCCCTGGTAGGCTTACTTCTCCGTCTCTCGCTCAGTACACGATTCAGTTGACGCCTGGTGTCGGGCGAAAATCGTTGCCGTGACTTGTGGGATCGGATTTGGCGAAGGGTTTAGGGGAGGAATGGCGACCAAGCGGAGCGTGGGCACCCTGACGGAGGCGGATCTGAAGGGGAAGAAGGTGTTCCTCCGCGCCGACCTCAACGTGCCGCTGGACGACAGCCAGAAGATCACCGACGACACCCGCATCCGCGCCTCCGTCCCCACCATCAAGTTCTTGATGGAGAAGGGCGCCAAGGTCATCCTGGCCAGCCATCTGGTGAGCACCGGTTTCTTGCTCTGTGTCGACTAGGTTAATTTTCCACGACTTGTGCTTGTGCGCCAAGTTCTTGATGAGATATGATGCTAATTTGAGCGATTGGTAGCATCGGGTACAGTTCTGTTAAGATTCTACATTTGTACTAGTATCGATACCTGTTATTCAGGATTCAGGAAGGATAAGCGCGGCCTGAATTCTATTTATGTGCCAAATAAGCTACCATCGCTCTAAGTGAAAGGGTGATTACTTAAAATTCATATCTTAGTTTGGTCGCGGCAATAGTAAGGGTGATGGTTTCGCTTCAAGAAAAGGCGATATTAGGTTCAGAGCTGTGCAAGACTATCTTTTAACTTAGACATGCCCATTTGATTAATCATATAGTTGCTATAATAAGTTGTTCTGTAATTGTCTGAGTCATCAGAATTGGAAGCCATCTCTCTGACATGCTGGTTTTGACCTTTAGGTTGAGACTTTCTTCTTCAAATGATGTGGTTTGTTACCTACATTATAACCAATGTCTAGCAACCAATATTGAGTCCCATAAGCTAACAATGAACCTACATTAATGAAGCGGACACCAGTTAGCAACCTGATGTGATTTTCAACTTTTATGAGGTCAACCCAAACTCAAGATTTCCCTTAATAAGTAGCAGACAAAATATTCTATGATTTGGAGAAACATTTGTTCCTCCCTAATGATATTTAAGCTTATAACTGCTTAATTGTTTCATTTGATCACGTCATTCTAATACAGTCACTGTTGTCTCTTCAGGGACGCCCAAAAGGTGTCACTACCAAGTACAGCTTGAAGCCTCTTGTCCCGCGCTTGTCTGAGCTCCTTGGAGTTAATGTATGCATTATGAAAATGTAGCTCATGTTCGTTCTTGTACATAGTATGAAAAACTGGAACAATAACTCATCTTATCTGCCCTTTATTTGCTTATATACATTGTTAAAAGGTTGTTATGGCCAATGACTGCATTGGTGAGGAAGTTCAGAAGTTGGCTGCTTCTTTACCAGACGGAGGTGTTCTGCTTTTAGAAAATGTTAGGTTCTACAAGGAGGAAGAGAAGAATGACCCTGAATTTGCCAAGAAGCTGGCATCTGTTGCTGATCTCTATGTAAATGATGCCTTTGGTACGGCACACAGAGCCCATGCTTCAACAGAGGGAGTTACCAAGTATTTGAAACCTGCTGTGGCTGGCTTCCTTATGCAGAAGGTATTTTCTGGAGTTCAGTTAGTCTGTTATGTACTCCATTGTGAAGAATCAATATCCCTTTTACTTTTCAAGTTGCAAAGCCCTGATGGCTTTTCATTGACTGAGGGTCAGCTTCCAATTACCTGCAATTTGACAACATTGAAGGTTCAGCAATATTGTTTTCATCTTTAAACTAAGAGCTCTCACATTTCAGGAACTTGACTATCTTGTTGGCGCTGTTGCCAACCCAAAGAAGCCATTCGCTGCAATTGTTGGTGGATCAAAGGTGTCAACGAAGATAGGGGTGATTGAGTCTCTATTGGCTAAGGTTGACATCCTAATCCTTGGTGGTGGTATGATATTCACATTTTACAAGGCCCAGGGATATGCTGTAGGCAAATCTCTTGTTGAGGAAGACAAGCTTGAACTGGCAACTTCACTTATTGAGAAAGCCAAGTCAAAGGGGGTCTCACTCTTGCTTCCCACTGATGTTGTAGTGGCTGATAAATTTGCTGCAGATGCTGACAGCAAGGTATGCTCCTACTAAAAAAGCAGATTTTTTTTTTAATTGCAAGTATTCATGTTAGCCTACGTGAAGTGTCTTCTCGAATTATCTTGGGTAGCAACTGAATAATGTAATGTAGAACCTGCACCAACAAAACTCTGTTGAGTAAGCCAAGCTATTTGCACCTTGGCAATGCAACATAAGCCAGATTCTCAAGTTATGGTAAAAAAATGGAAGTGCTATGCCAAGTTTTCTCGTAGGTTCAGAAATCTTTGAAAATATAGCTGTTCTCTCACTCTGCTCATGCTGACACCTGCCATCATTTGCAGACTGTTCCTGCATCATCTATCCCTGATGGTTGGATGGGCCTGGATATTGGCCCTGACTCCATCAAGACTTTCAGTGAGACTTTGGAGACCACCAAGACTGTCATCTGGAATGGGCCTATGGGAGTTTTCGAGTTTGAGAAGTTTGCAGCTGGCACTGATGTGAGTGATACCTTGCATACGAGCTATTTGCATCTCTGTGTTCTCTAGCTAAATTCATCGCTTATTTGTTCAGGCGATCGCCAAGAAGTTAGCTGAAATCACTGCTAAAGGCGTGACAACCATCATTGGAGGAGGAGACTCTGTCGCTGCGGTCGAGAAGGCTGGGCTGGCGGACAAGATGAGCCACATTTCGACTGGTGGTGGTGCGAGCTTGGAGCTGTTGGAAGGCAAGCCCCTCCCAGGTGTCCTTGCTCTTGACGACGCGTAGGCTGGTACTGCAGTATATGTATAGTGCAAAAATGCTAGTCCTCTTCTCCTGTCCAGGAAACTAGGCGCGTCTCTTCTAGTTTTGCCAGATGAGCAGTGAATAAATTGGAGGTGTGCTCCCGAACAAACTGATATGACATGGGATGGCTTTTATCCTTCCTTTACTCAAACCCTTTTTACAGTAGCCGTGATTGGACTCTGGAAGTCTGGATGCCTTTTTTTTCTCGAATACGTAAAAGCTTTGCGTATCATTGGATTAAGTAGAAGAGTTTAGATAAACATACAACACGCTTGTATCGAACGTCGAAGGAGGAATCTAACACAATCGTAGCTGGACCATCCTAGCAAGAGACCTCTATATTCGATATTACATTAAAGAAAACAACCAATATCGACACAACGGTGCGACCTAGGAAGTGGACTTGCGTCCTCGCGGCTGCCTGGACCGAACAACCGGGAAGAGCTCGTCCAGCGCTTCGGCTTCGGACGCAGTCAGGTTACTGTCGAAGAACAGGCCGCCAGCTCCGACGCGGATGGCATTGATGGACCCTTGGTGAAGCCCATACGCTGCATGATCAACACATCACCTCACTTGGAAGCAGGTACTCGAGAGAGGGGCTGAGCCGCCAACCGCCTGCTCCGCCACGGCATCACTGGCTTAGCAGGAGGCTGCTTTGGAGGCTCACGAATTAGTGGAGTCCCTCTTACGTGTCACTTCGTTAATGAAGCTATCGAGGCGGCGTTTGACGGAGTCATCGTTGTCCTCGGTCGGGTGGGTATCCAACGGCGGTGAACTAGGAGGGCGCGTCCACCGTGAGGTTCGGTGAGTCCACGGCCCAGTGAATGGGGCGCGGAGGTGGTGTCCGCAACGCACAGGAGCCCACAGCCGCCGGGTCCTCATCCTCCAGCTGGGGGGCCGTCACTGCCGAGGCCTCATCTTGTAGTTGGGGGGCCACCGGAGGTGACAACTGGCGCTCAAGAGAAGGCCACGTGACGATCCGACTGCTGGTGAGTGAGGCTGTGAATTCCTCCGGCATCGGGTCCTCCGTGATGTCGCGACCATGCGTGGTGTCTAAGTACAACATCAACGTCAACGGGTCAAGCTGAACACTGCCCGTCTCGCTGGACAGCTCGTCGTGCCCAGGCTGAGCTTCAGCAGCAACCGAGGTGAAGGCCGGAGCTGTCTGTGCAGCCCCTGCCGACCGCCCGTGACGCCTCCGTCTTCGGCGCCAGCGACCACCGGTGGCAGGAACGATGTTGGCCGACTTGACCCTACCTGAGTCTTGCGAGACACCATGGTCCGCCGGCCCAGCGGAGCAGGCGGGGTGCTGCGGCTGGCGACCCATGGCTCTTGCATCGCCCGAGCTCCGAGAGCCCAAGCGCCTTGGCTGCTTACAGTCGCGCGCAATGTGTCGAAATCCCCTGCACCGCAAACATCATTAGGGAAGCTTGCAGGTTGCCACTCGATGCGCGGAGGAGAGGCAATTGAGGCATTTGCCGAGAAGATCTGACGGGATGCGCCTCGGTGGTCGACGACTCACCGGCTGGCCTCCGCTTGCTGGCCCTCGTGGCTCAGCCGAGGCGGCCGCTGGTCGCGTCTCCTGCCGGTGGAGGATCTCCCGCCACCCATCGGCGTTGGGGGCGGAGACCCGTCCACGGCGCTCGAGGCGCCGGCATGCCGGGATGCGGCCCTCCACTAGCCGAGCCGGCATGCCGTACAACAGCTGTGGGCATGGCCGACTGTGTTTCCCCCGCCTTCTCCCAGCATCCTGGCGACCCGCCGCCGCACCGCCATGGCCCGACGTCAGAGGTTGAGTGCGCGGTAGGGACATCACAGGCAGCGTCGACGTCCTCGGCGGCTGCGGCTCTTGACGAACCGCGTCCAGGTAGGGGGCATGGAGGTGGTCTGCACCTCTTCTGCATCGGAGTCGTCGAGGAGATCGTCGTCCACCCAACGACGGGCCTTGGAGCGTCCCACCACGCTACTCCCAGGATGGAAGGGGGCAACTTAGGGGGATAGGGTGGACGATGGGCTCAGGGCGGCGACGGACGGGTGAACGAGAAAGGCGTCGAGGTCGGAGGCAGCGGAGGACGACGACGCTGCCACGGAGCCACGCTCGAAGGCCGCCTCTAGGCAGAGCACCGCTGCCCCGGCCCCCGTGGCACGGGGCCCTGTGCCCACCGGCTGGGCGAGCGCAGCAGCAGGCCCGGTCGCCGCCTAGTTGTGCGGGGCTGCCTCTACCTGTGACAGAACCGTCCAATTTATACAAGATCAAGTACGGCTGTCCCCGCTAACACGTTGACACGTGCATACTTTCACTTATATAAACCTGATAGTCCGCCGAGTGTCTCGAAAGACCTCGGTAAATCAACATCACAACCAAGATCGCGTGATTAAGCAAATACACATCACATACGCAAAGTTGCAGCAGAAATAATATTACAAATAGGTTCACAAATAATAGTACAAGTTTGGGTTTCAAAACCAATTATTGAAAACAACATAGCTTTCAAATGATTACATTAATATAAGTTCCAAATACATTGCTAGCATAAGTGACATCCTCAGACAAAAGCATATAGATGAGAAGTAAAAATAGAATCACCGAGCCCACCGGCGGTTAGCCACCATCTTCAGTAGGCCAAAAACTTCACCTGCAACATGGTGGGATAAATCCTGAGTACTCGAATGTACTCAGCTAGACTTACCCGTCATAAACCAGAAATAAAACGACACCAAGGATTATGCAAGACTCTCTTTAGTGGGCTAGCTGACTTGTTTGCGAAAAGCATAAGCTATTGTGAAGAAACTATTTTAAGTACTTTGCATCATCTTTATTATAACATATCCCTCTAGGTAAGCACCTGTACTATAACAATCACTTGATTAACCAATAACATCCGGTTACCAATTTAGATTTAGCATATCCCATACCATCCAGATAACCATCATTGTTCCATAATAATTACTACAATGCCGTAGCTAGAGTCAAGTGCTCACTATCCAGGAGCGATGACGTTTCGAATCGATTCCTAACCAGCTGGTGATTTATTCCTCACACAAACCACGCTTCCCCGTTAGGGTCGCTTAGATCACCAATGACACTTTCCAAGTAGCCGCGGGATAACATTCATGGACCGCACTACTCAGGGACCGTCCGACTGCCAGGACGCACCTTGGGCTCACTCTTCGCGTCCCCGTCATACCCTCTTTCAGCACTAGTCTGCCAATCCGAGTTTATCCCGACTCGAAATAGTGTCACTAGCTTCGCGGTCGAAAGGTACTTTATTCGGCCAGCTAAATGTGAGGCATGCGTTCAACATGACAAGAGGGACGAGCAACGATCGGTCCTTAATCGACATAGACGGAAACTAACAGCACCCCAGAACCCTGTCTGGTTGCCTCCAACTTTTTTCGTCTGGTCTCCAATTATTCATCACACATGGTTAATTCCAGGATATCATTCTTTCCATAGCTAAATTCTTCCAGTAACCACCTATAATGTAGGTGACCGGATATCACCGATCGCTACCGGTCTAAGCAAAGCTAAGCAGTTATTCGATCCTGACCTAACAGGGTAAAAGGTAATAAGGTAGGCAAGGATAGTAATAAATGCATCAACGGTTTCAATCAACTCCTACAACTTAATGCAACAATATATAAACTCATATATATAGAAAGAATTGCTTTTATAAATTAGGAGACTTATAATGCTCCGGGGCTTGCCTGGGATCCGACACAAGTCAGTTCAGTTAGCTTGCACCGTCCTGGTGACGTCTCAGGTCCTAGCACTCGCTTAGTCCTTCCATCTTCGGGATAGATCATCCATACACCGTCTTCGGGTTCGGCTCCAACATCACGTTCTCCACGTGGTTCATCTAGCGCACCTAGATGAGATGCAAGATGCATGTGTATGAATATGATGAATGGTAACACAAGATGCATCACATAAGCATTCAAGACAAACCAGTTATTCACGGCAATCATAAAGTCAAGGCTGCAAACAACAGCAGCTAATTTTACTCATAACAGGAGTTGTACTAATCCAAAAGACATGCAACAAGACAATCTGGAAAGCTTATGAAATTTTCTACAATTCATCTTTAATCATCTTAGCATGATTCTCAAGTTAACTAAGTCAAATATTCCCATTTACAGAAACTGGACCACAATTGATAGAAAACAGCTATTTCTGAAACCCAACTTTAAACATGAATTATCTATAAATTTGTTACTCTCATATTTTAACACAAGGCCAAATACCACCAAATTTTAACAAAAGCTAGATACATGAATTATCTATAAATTTGTTACTCTCATATTAAGATGATTTTACAGTTAGAAGGGTCAACTAATCCAATAATTGCATCTCTGTCCAAAACATAGACAGAAACTGACATGCCACTTTAAACAGCTATAAATGGAGTTATACATGTACTATAAATGTGATTCTAGACTTTTTAGAAAGCTTAGCAAATTCTAAACAACTTTGTTGTAAACACCTAAAGCTAATTATACTATTAAGAAGGCCCCACAGTAAGAACAAGGAAACCCTGTCTGGGTTTGGGCAGAAACAGCCACAGAGATTTAAGCAAGTATAACTCAAGATCTACTTAGCCAAGAATCATGATATTTAACTTTTTGGAAAGCTTAAAAAAAGTATCACAACTCATGTATTTTCATCAAGTCATGATTCATAACTTAACTGAGCCAATTAATTCAAATATGCAGAACTATTCAGAGTAGGAGCAAAGCATTACATGGCATTTGTTATTTTTATAACTCTTAAAATATAAATCCTAAACTCATGAAATTTTTACCAGACAACAACAATCACCTGATGAGCATCTCATAAAAATTTCCCATTTATTTGAGCAAAGTAACTTCAGTTATAAAAAAGACAAGACACAACTAGTATTACAAACCTAACTGCATAAATTGATTTTTACAGCAAAAACTTTAAACTAAATTGTGCCATATTATAGATCTAGGGCATAGAT